TTAACCTCAGCATGTTTCTGGACTGTGGGAGGAAGCCGGAGAACCCAGAGAGAACCCACGCTGCACGGGGAGAACATGGAGAAAGACCTCAGAGTTGTGAGGCGACAGTGCTTGCCAGTGCCCTACCATGCTGGCCATGGTGTAAAAATATGTCAATGTGCAAATAATATAACTGTATACTACTACAATAATGCAATGCATCCATGTCACAAACCATTTTCAGATGTTGAGTCAAGTGCTTTGGAAAAACTAGTATTTCTCCAGATCAGGGACAGACTTGCTTTGACACAGATTAAATTAATCTACTATGTATTCTTTTAAAGTTGAAGTCTGTTATTGTCCTGATCAGGACACACAGCTCAAAGGTTCTGAGTTACAATTTTGGCCCAGGATCCGTCTGTGTGGAGTCTCCATGTTCTCCCCGTGCAGCGTGGGTTCTCTCCGGGTTCTCCGGCTTCCTCCCACAGTCCAGAAACATGTTGAGGTTAATTGGTGATTGTAAATTGTCCGTAGGTGTGAATGTGAGTGTGCTTGGTTGTCTGTCTCTAAGTGTAGCCCTGTGATAGACTGGTTACCTGTCCAGGTGAACCTGCCTTCACCCTGAGTCAGCTGGGATAGACTCCAGCCCCCCATGACCCTAGTGAGGATTAAGGTGTAGAGATGATGGATGGATGATATAATACGCAGTGAGCTATGCTTCGCTTTACTTTAATGGCCGTGTATGAGTGACAACATTGTTTAAATGATCCGTGTATCAAAATGTTGCTGAGACACTTTTTTTGTTATTTGTTTTGAGTGATTTACTTTTCACAACAACAGAGTAGTTATCTTTACAATATCTAATGAATTTGTCATTGTATTATTTGAGAAACAGTTGTTAGATTACTTTAAAACAGTTGCAGCCCTGGACGACGTCGTACATCACGTATAGAGAGGTTAGGGTTGACCCTCTTATCACCGGGGCTGATACCTAACGAGGCGTCAGCTAATTTAGTCTTAGTGTTACTGTTCCGACAACCCGGTGCAGTCTGTGTTCACTGTGAAGTAGATTGGATGAATGATTTGTCACTGATATTGACAAAGCTGCAGACAACAATACTTGGGCCAAACAATCGGCTAGTGCTGTGAAATGCAGGAAGTGACGAGCTGAAAGGATGTCTCAGGTCTTGCAAAAGTTTCTGGAGTGGAACTAAACGGACAGGAAATAATTCATCAATTATTTAGACAATGCACAGACAAAAACTAGCAGCTTCTCTGCATTATGTTCTTCAATAAAAACACCAAAACACTCTGACCGGTGTGAAGATGTTTTGCTTTTCTTAGCAAAGGAAAGGTTTGAGCAAATAATTCAGGAGAAACGTGTAAATAGTCCATGTGTTGAAATACCCATCTATAGCACATTCTGGGACTCTTTCAGAATAAACTCAAAGAAACTAAAGCGACGGCTGACTGGATAGAAAGGAATTAGGTTAACAGTGATGTTCTGGAAAATGGCCAGTGGTTAAGTACTGAGAACTTGTTTATGGTTTAAAGTGGACAATAGCAGAAACCGTTTTGTTCTGGTGCAGCACAACCTCCAGTCGGTGTCATCCAGCCAGCTGCTGGTAGGAACTCCCAGCCCCGTACTCTACTGGCTGAAAATAACTCAAGTTAGGATTTAATTAAGCAGTTGCTGTTATATTATGTTTAATTCGGGCGATTAGATAGAAAACAGGATCCTTCTTAAAACAAAAACACAGTATAACAATCTTTTGAAGGCAGCTGATCAGCAAACATGGTTGCAATAGAGTTTAATGTCTTCTGAGAAAAGTCTGAGATGATGAGTGAGATCACATCAGAGGGCTGTACGATGAAGCAACTTTGACATAGCCAGGCTTTCTTTGTGTAAGTCGGCTCGACAAAACCGAAAGCCCCAGCCAGAGATAACGGGTATCACGAAGGTGGTTCAACTTTCTTTGTCAAGTCAGACTTTCTGCTTCAGACTCTGTGTGCGTTTCACATAAAAGGAGCTAATGTATGAGTGAGAAAATGGCTGAAACTAACACAACAGAATGTCACATCATCTTTACACCGCTTCATCCTCACTATGGTGGTGGGGGGGGCTGGAGTCTATCCCAGCTGACTCAGGGTGAAGGCAGGTTCACCTGGACAGGTAACCAGTCTATCACAGGGCTACACTTAGAGACAGACAACCAAGCACACTCACATTCACACCTACGGACAATTTAGAATCACCAATTAATCTCAGCATGTTTCTGGACTGTGGGAGGAAGCCGGAGAACCCAGAGAGAACCCACGCTGCACGGGGAGAACATGGAGACTCCACACAGAGAGATCCCGGGTGTCCTCACCGGGACGCCAACTGGCGACTGTCTTGCTGCGAGGCAACAGTGCTAACCACTGCACCACCTTGCGGCCCAAATGTGTTCATATATGATATTTTACTGATGCAGCCGCTGGTTTCTAACTGACAGCTGCACGTTAAAGTTAAACTTTAACCTTCATACATTTAAACCTGATCTTGTGCTGAAGTGCATTTAGGTCTGACTCTGTCCCATCATGCAGGAGATCACTTTAATTTTTGGCCCAATCAGAGCGAAACTAATGTCACTGAATATTCTCTGTAATAAATACCAACAGAATGATCCATGTTCTGATCTGTTCTATCAGTAGTTTAAACAGACCTGACAGCAGATCAGAGCCAAACATTAAAACATATTGATGTGATTTCTGCATCGCTAATTAAATACACGTCTGGTTCCCATGACAACACAATATATACAATGTGTGATGCTGTAACTCCACGGCTTCATTCAGTGATGTTAGTGACACACAACTCAACATGTCAGCAGATGAAACACATTCCCTCAGCTGAGAATCTGGATCATCAGGAATCATAAAGAAACCATCTGCTTAAAGGGGGACGCTCCTTCAGCCGATTTAAATCTGAAACTCTGAACAGAACCTGCTCCTGACCAGGTTAGCTCCACAGCATCAGTTACCATGGAGACCTGGCTTCACAGCATCAGTAACCAAGGAGATCTAGCCAGGTAAAAAGAGAGCCACCTTTGTGACACTGAAAACTCTGGCTTTAGGCTCAACATACCTCGCTAACCCACTGATCTGGCTTCATCATACAGCTCTCAGATGGCATGAGGGTGTTCTGGGTTTGGACTGGGAAGGACATATCAAGAGAAGTTGGTTTTACAAAGTGGGCCTGTTGAGTTTGGAGAGCGTGGAGACTAACCAGACATGAGGGGTCTGTCAAAATCGAGTATCGAAAAAAAAACAAAAAACAGCCAAGGTTGTTGGAGTTCATCCCATAAAAGGGACTAAAATTTCAGGATAGCTCAGAAACCCTCCCTTAGCTATACAGACTTCCTGGTTCTGCTGGAACAAGGAGAGTTTTTGTTCAACCTACTGTTGCCAAGTGCTTGGTTTTTAGCATATTATATGTTTAGCTTAGGGCTGCAGGTGGCTCAGTGGTTAGTGCCGTCGCCTCAGAGCCGGAAGGTCGGCGGTTTGTGTCCCAGTGAGGACACCAGGGATCTTTCTGCGTGGAGTCTCCATGTTCTCCCCGTGCAGCGTGGGTTCTCTCCGGGTTCTCCGGCTTCCTCCCACAGTCCAGAAACATGCTGAGGTTAATTGGTGATTGTAAATTGTCCGTAGGTGTGAATGTGAGTGTGCTTGGTTGTCTGTCTCTAAGTGTAGCCCTGTGATAGACTGGTTACCTGTCCAGGTGAACCTGCCTTCACCCTGAGTCAGCTGGGATAGACTCCAGCCCCCCATGACCCTGGTGAGGATTAAGGTGTAGAGATGATGGATGGATGTTTAGCTTACATATTTTTCAGTATGTTTTTTTTTTCCAACTTTGTGTTTTTCTTTACATGAGGGTCTGAGAGAAAACTGTGAGAAAGGATAATTCAGTTCTCTGTATGTGTACACGTCCAGCACAACTGACAATGAGGTAACTTTGACTCTGACTTCTTCCAGGTCCTCACCTGCCGATGCAAAGTGCCTTGAGATGACAACAAACTGGTGGCACGTAAACGAAACAAGCCTGAACTGAACTAAACTGAATTAAAAGGCAAAGTGGCACCTTAGTCATGTTTGGAGCCTAAAATGGGGACAGAAGTGTGACAGATGGGATGGATGTCACTCTGCACCTCTGCTTTAACATGTTGTCATATCCTGCATTGCAAACTTTGAACAGCAGCCTGTAGTGTGTGAGTCCAGCAGAGGCCTGTGACCTGCAGGCTGGAGGCTAGGCTACACGGAGCCTGTGCAGCCGCCGAGGAGGACACGGCCTGATGCTTCCTGCTGTGTGTGTTTGTGTGTAGGCAAGGAAGGGGGCGGCGATTGTAAAATGGTGTAATAGCGACAAAAGTAGCCAATGTGCTTAAGTTACACCTCAAAAATCACGAGCACGACTGAAGCTAGCCTCCACCTCCAGCAGCAGCAGCAGCAGCAGCAGCATCCTCCCGAGCGGCTGTGAGGAGCCTCAGCGGGTCGCTGAAAACCAAAGTTTGGCCACAACGATCCAGCACAACGCAGCACAAAGCGCTCAAATTGCGCGTCTTTGTTGTGTCAACAGCGGTGCGTGCGTGCATGTGCGTGTGCCTGTGTGTGTGTGCGTGCGTGTGTGTGCAAGTGCGTGTGTGTGTGTGTGTGTGCTGTTGGCGCACCAGGCTGCAGCTGCAGTGAGCCTGAAAAACGAAGCCAGGAGCGAGTGGCATAAAGCAGGCCCCAAATAAACACGGGCTCCGCCGCCTCAGCGCTTCCCCTCCTGCCCGCATTTTCCTGCCGCATCTTCGTGTCCAGTGGAGGTCTGCGTCGTCCACATTTTGTGCATCGTCTCTCCCCTGCACTGCATCCCCCCACCCCCTCCACGATCCGTGTTCCAGCCGGTGTTTCCTGAACATTTACATCCAATTACCTCCGCTCGGAGCCCGTGTCCCCTGGCCAGCTCGGAGCCGCTACCTCGCCGCCGCAGCGCTTACCTCCTCATCCTGCGGACCTCCAGGGATCCCCGACGAGCAGGAGGGGTCCAGCCCGGCGCCCAGCTCCTCCAGGCCCCGCTCCCTGCCCGGCTCCCGCTCCGTGGTTTCTCCGTTAAAGACGGGCGGTGGGGACTCGGCGCTGCTCAACGCCGCCATTTTAAACTGCGAGAAACTGAGTGGAAAATAATAGAGGGAAACGCAGGCTGGTGCTGAGGACAGGAGGGGGAGACAGAGACGCAGGACGGCACGACAGAGCTCCTAAACTGTGAACCTCTGGACCCGATGGTGGCCCCCAGCTGTCAGCCTGCACATCATCATCATCATCATCATCATCATCATCATACTATAATACATGATACTGGTTTTATTGTGGTGATGTGGAGTCAGTGATGGGCTCCATGTGTCCCAGGTGTCACCCACCAGACCACACTGAGATGATCCTGTCCTGGACCAACACCACTGTGCTCCAACTCATGTGTGTGTCAGATACCTTCTGGTCACTACATGAACTGTGTTCTCTAAATATTTCAAATAATTAACAATCAAATACAGATCAATAAGAAGGATGTGTTGGGCTGTTCATATCCCCGTGGACACTTGTCCTGAGTTCTGGTCCACGACTGCATCAGTTGCACCAACAGTTTGGTCTTTGTTCTGGTGTAGTCAAAACTAACAGATTTACTAAAATACAGGCCCCACAGGAAGAACTGTGAGCAGCAAACACCCGCTCAGCTACATTACTGATAATTAAACTGTTTCTGTCCTTCATATGTGCTCCTCTATTGGTGATGACAGACTTAGTCCTCCTCTGCATGGATCATCCATCCGTCCATCATCTCTACACCTTAATCCTCACCAGAGTCATGGGGGGCGGAGTCTAACCCAGCTGACTCAGTGTGAAGGCAGGCTCACCTGGACAGGTAACCAGTCTAACCCAGCTGACTCAGGGTGAAGGCAGGGTGGGAGATGCCAGAAAATTTCTGGAAAGACGATCTGACATTATTTAGCTTTTATTTTCTAGCTGCTCTTTGCTGGGGAGGTTGTGTTGCTCTGCTTTTCTCTTCAAAATATTCTGAAGATGTTCTGCTGGATTCAACTTGGCCAGGTCATAGTTTTCAGTGTTTTTCTTATTTAGAGACCGTTGTGTAAGTTTGGCAGTGGGCTTTGGATCACTATCAAGCTGGAATATTTCTCTTCTGCCAAGCTTCTCCAGACCGGTCGGTACTTATTTTCTCAGTCAGTGTTTCAATTCAATTAAATTCCAAAAACTTAATTTTCCCACCTGGGGGCAACTTAAGAACGGTAGAGCAGAACATTATTGTTATGGATATATCCCACCTTCATGCCTCACGGTCAGGACTGTGCATTCACTGTGGTGGTCCAGGCCAAACATGCTGGACCCCACCCGAGCCAAACACATTTCTCTTGGTCTCCACTGACCACAGAATGTCCTCTCATCATCCATCAGGCTTCTTTCCACGTTCCAAGTTTTATCTTGCAGTCATGTACAGTTACTGTTCTACATTGGATCCCATCCGCTGAGGTTGTTACCCAGCTGGAAATTTTTGGTTCTCAGAACGTTCTTAGAATATTGACTGGAAAGTTGATGCAATGTTTTCAGCAAGAAGTTCTCTTTAAGTTCCGAGAATGTTCTGGGAGAATGTTCCCTAAAAACATTTTTAAAAATGTTTTGCAATAACCCTCTTAAAATGTTAAATGACAACATTTATAATAACAATTGATCCGATTTACATGGCTGCCATTCTGCCCTCCGACCACCACCTCAACAATCCATTCATACGCATCCACACCAGGCAGGTGGTGAAGTGTCTTGCCCAAGGACACAATGACCATGACACAGGTTAAAGGGTGGAATGGAACCACCGACCTTCTGATCATTGACCGACTATGCAGTTCAGAGGCAGCATAGTTTGAATCATTTGACTCAAAATTCTGTTTCTGTCATATGGAGGACAAGCATCCACACAAAGTGATATCGAGGGACCTGTCTTAGTAAGTAGCTTGTACTTTAGCGGTAACATTACTCTAACAAACTCAGAGAACGTGTAATTATCAGATCTTACTGACGCGTCGTAGGACTTGAGGGGCATCTGTGGAACTGAGGTCGACAGGCAGTTTGTCATCCGGGCTTGTAGATATATCTGGAGCTGTGAAATAGGACCATGAAGAGCCTATCTGACAGGTCAGAGTTAATCTCCAAAGCCCTGAGCGTGGGAGCTACAGTGTCCCAAAGTTAAGATATTCTACATGCAGTGGTTCATTCATCGATGCACAGCTATTTAGAAAAAAAAGAAGCAAATCACATAGGACACGGTGCAGAATTAACAGCTCCACCGACATGTGCAGCGCCGTGGTTGTACTGTGGATTCTCCTTTTGTCCCTACTTTGACCAGCATGCACAGGAAGCTTTGCAACACTCCACATTCCTCATGTTGGTTTTATTTGGAAAACACAAAGTTCTGTCTAGTTCTGGACATCGTTTTCAGCCATTCCATCCACGGTCAAGCTAACACGAGCTAACATTAACTCAAAAGTCAACATAAGCAGCTGTGTAGCTACAACACAACAGGATTTGTTTTTACTCCATGAATCATACAAATACGTGACCATAGGCGTAACACTGTTGTATCTGCCCTCAGATGATGATAATGAGCTGCTTGTGTCAGTGGTACCTAACAGGAAGTCACATGCTAATGTCTGATTAGCTCTGTGTGACTGAAACGCAGTAATAAATACTAAAAGGAGCCAAATCAGTTCAATACAAAAGACACAGATGAGAGCATTTATGTGTAATGTTGCCTAAAGGTATTGTTCTTGCCAGCATAGGAAAACAGACCAGTGGCAAACACTCAGGATTGAATCCCCCCACAGTGACAGCGTACACAGTGATTCAGTCTGCCTCCAAACTGAAGTCCTGTGTAACGATGAAGGAGTGGAGGTGTTACAGTTCATGTCTTCTTTCCCGCTCTCTTCCCCTCTCCCTTCTTCGGTACCCCTTTTCCTCGTAGTTTTCTCAGACGCCGCATCTCCTCCTTGAAGTCTTCATGCTCGTCTCTGGACAGGAAGAAAAGACTTGATCAGAACATGTACCATGTCTACTGAGCTACCACCAGACAAGCTCAACACATCAAAGCTTCACATTAAAATCCCTCCAGCAGGGCTTCATACTGTAGTTGGCTTCTCATGTGAAACACCTACAGAGGTGTTGAATGTCACTGACAGCAACTCAACACAGATCAAAACAAAAACTAAAGGAATTGTGTGAAAAAGAGCTGCAGATTGGTGAGTATGACATTGCCGCTGTTGTACAGGTGGACTCGTATGCTGTAAAAATGAACAACACACTGAATTGACCAGGTGAGCTGTTACAGTCGGGGCGACTCCACTTCCTCACTGCATGCTGCGCTATGTTGTCGCTTAGCCATTCCAGCACTGGCTGCATGCTGACATCACCATGTAAGGTGAACTTTCAGCCTAGTTTGAGGTCCAGAGTGCTCTGAAACAGGTTTTCATTCAGGATATCAGGCTTCAGCATCTATTTGATACGAAATGAAGCCACAACTTACAAAATGAGCAACATGCTGAATTCACAAACTCCTGAAAAATAGCCACTCAGACCACATAGTCACGAGCAAAATGTTCACTGAGGAGACACATCAAAAGAGAAGTATCCTCTGGAGGCCTTCTACACAGCTGGACTTCTTTTTAAAACCAGAAGAGTCGTCCCCTGCTGGCCATTAAAGAGAATGCCAGTTTAAGTCACTGGCTTCACTGCTCAGATCAGGAGGCTGTGTCCACCTACAGCTGTCTAGGACTCTTACTTTTCTTTGCTTGATTGCAGAGTGCGCATTATCAGATGCTGTTCCACAGCCACGTGCATGACATTCCAATGCTAATGTTTTACCTCACTACTATCATTACTATTATTAATTTAATTATTTAACTGAACACAACCACAATTTTTGGGACAATATTTCTATGTTCAATCATTCATTATTCTATCCCATTTGAAAAATGGAATAAGTCCATACTGGGAGCAGTTCACGTTTTAAAGTTCTCATCCTTGCATTAGAAGAGAGAGCAGTTAATATGTTCATGGTTTCTCCATCATTTGCTTTAAAAGGTCCTACATTATTCCTCTTTTCATCAAATTATTAAAAGCCTCAAGTTCCCAGAATGTGACTTGTAGAAGCCGATAACGTAATAACTTTTGGCCAAAAACACAATAAGTTATTACGTTATTGGCTGGTTATTACATTTGCAAAGATTTTTTTTATTTTTTATTTTTTTACCAGGCCAATAACATAATAACTTACTAAGTTACTGGCCAAAAGATATGACGTTATCGGTTCAGGACTTTTATCCCATTATTGGTCTATTACATTTTAAAAAGAGCAAATTCATTACATTATCTGCCGATATTACATTATTGGCTTCTACTCAAGATACCACAGAGATTAATGTACCATCACTGTATAACCCTAGTGTTTGCCTTGTTCCGGACAGTCCCAGCCACTGTTTCACTGTATGCAGCCTTAAAGCAGCTGGCCTGCCACCTTCAGGAAGAACACTCTCTCTGCTTCTCTGATTGACGGCTAGGAGCAAAACAGTTCACTGTACAGCAGTAAAGGATGATCTTATCTTAAAAAATATATAAGAAATCAAATTGCAATTCCACTTATCTGTCAAAATAATCGTGGTTAGGTAACTCCTGCTTCTCTCTTTAGTGCTCACTTTGGCTGAGTGGCCAGCCTGAGGACGCAGCCTGACGGTTCCACATTTCTTACATTGAGGAATTATGGGGCCACTGTGCTCTGGGCAACCTTCAATGCAGCAGAATTTTTTGTAGCACTCCATAGATGTGGGTTTGCTGCGCATGCAGGCACTTCCACTGACCTGATGGCTTGTGTTGTTCCCTAAAACCTTATCTAGATCAGTGTTTGCTTTTCCATATCAGGTCCAGTCACTTAAATGTACCACAGATAGACTCACTAGCTGCCTCTCTTGCATTTAAATACTTTATATGTGAACATACGTTACACTAAAGTATTAAAAGATATATATGGAAAAAAGAAAAAACAACAATGCCTGGCGTGCATTTTCAAATTCTAGCAAATGTGTAAGTCCAACAATTCTTTTCTCTGTCACATTTTGATAAAATTATGCAAGAGTTACAATTTCCATTTTCAAATGTAGAAATAAAAATGACTGGCAGGTGCTTCCTTTTTATTTTGTCCTAAATCACACACTTCGATGGCTTGTAACAATGAATCCAAAAGGTGCTGTATGCGAGTTCTGGACCCACTGGATGTCACTAGAGAACCAGCGCCTCACACTGAAACAAATGAGCACCTGGGCCTCACCTGCACCAACCTTTACATTTAATTTACAATCAAAGTTGATTGTGTACACAAGAGTCGACAAAAAGTAATCCCGCAACAACCACTGGCTTACACTTGAACTGTACAGTACACTGAATGGCCACGATGACTTGTTGTCACCTTGAGTCACGTCATCTTCTCTCGACCTCTCTTTTTCCAAATTAGGTTCAAGTCTTCTGTTCTGCTACGTGTGCGTTTGTGTGTCTGACCAAAGCAAGTACATGTGTTTAGTAACGTATGAATGGAGCAGACTCTGGAGTAGGGCCCGACCGCTTTATCGGCTGGCTGATTAAATTGCCCGATTACAGCCCTTTTCAAAACACTCATCATCGGCCAGAGTTTTGCCGATTAAGCGCCGATATATTCTTGATTTCTCATTAAACAGTAAATGCTGTTCAGTGTCACAGTCGCTTTTCTACATTCATTTTGTACAACTTGATTTAGTAAAAAGACAAATATTGTCCAGGGCAAAGCTGTAGAACACTTCAGCAACACCACGAAAAGCTCCGTTTGTGCTGCTGATTGTTGTCAACAAGTCCGACTTGGACACGGAGATGATGAAGAGTTAAGATAGCTGACGACCGTCCAGCGGTGAGACCTCTCACTCTGACACAAAGTCTGAAACCAACACCGGCACAGAGCCTCACTCTGACAGAGAACTACAGGAAACAGCTTTTTAAACTGTTTATCCAACTTTTTACCTCATTTATTTAACTTACATTGTTATTAGCTTATTCTGATCGACTTTAAAGACAGCCCAGTCTGTGAGAGTCCAGAACATCAGAGAGCTGCATCAATAATGTTGTGCAGTAGCTTCACTCATCATGCTGCTTGCATACAGCTACACCTATGGCCTGAACCTACAGATGGAGTCATCAGTACAGCTGGTAGCTACATTCATGCTCCATAGGAAGAACAATGCAGATTTAAAATAAAATACCCACATGACAGACATATTTGTTTGGAAAACTTTTTTTTTTACTGATGTATATTATGTTTAATGCTCTGCTGCATGTTTTTGTTCTTGACACTTCCTCTCTGTTGTAGACACTACAGACAGACACTAAAGGACAAAGTGTAGAACAACAAAATGTTCTGCCTGTGATTCAGATCTTTGTTGTTGCAGCATTAAGGGACCAAAAAAGAAGCGATTTCATTCATTATACATTTTTTTAATTAATCAGCCGATTAATCGGTTGTCAGAATTTTTTGCCAAATACCGGAATCGGTATCAGCCTCAAAACATCCATATGGGTCGGGCCCTAGTCTGTATCAAAAGAGACACACAGAGACCGGAACAGAACAGGACATAGCAGAGAGGAAAAAGCAGCAGAGAAACTCAAAACAGCAATAGAGCGCTGAAATGAAACACATTTTTCAAAATGAGGGAAATTATATGAATAAAATGTTTTGTTAAAACTTTATTTTTTTATTGTTTCAAGATTTTTTTTTGCACACTGACTAAACATCAGCTGTTTGCTGCTGTATCAATGCTTTATTTATCTTCACACTCAGTGCTGCAGCTGGAACCCTGTGTAGATGTTGGCTGCTGGCAGCATGGTAGTGAGGAAACTAGATAAAGGACTATTTCACGTCATTTTATCAAAGCACAGACCAAAGTTTTGTCACAAGTGTTGACAACGCGTGTTGGTTTCTACGGTACCTGAACAGTCCCATGAACCTCAGCTTCTTGGTCATAGCGTAGTAAATATTGTGCTGTGGATACCAGTCATACACCTCCTTCCTCCTGGCCAAAGGGGGCTCCTGGAACAGCCGGACCACCTTCATAGACTTGGAGTCTGTCGGACGCACCACTTCCCCAAAGATCTGTGAACTCAGTCTGGCCATGCGCAATGCGTAGCTGGACAGACCGGCCATGACTGATGAGCAGCTGAGGAAGAAGGAACACAGGTTCACTATCATATGGAAGGATGGAGGACATACATGTTGCATACACGACAGAATCAGTTATACAACTACAGGCTCCAGACTGCGACCATGTTGGAGGCAAATGATGAGCGGCTGTGGCTCAGGTGGTAGACCGGGTTGGTAGTTCGATCCCCGGTCCCTACCCCTGCCGAAGTCTCTTTGGACAAGACACTGAACCCCAAGTATGGCGGCAGGCACCTAGTATGGCAGCTCTGTTGCCACCAATGTGTGAATGGGAAACACAATACTGCATTTGAGTACCATAAGTTAGAAAGGAGCTTTGAATGTTCAGGATCTACCAAAAATCCACAACTGGCTGCTCCATTGTGCTTATCACCAGGTCTGTCTGTGTGAATTGTAGCAAAGCCAGACCTATCTGCCTGTGTCGGTGCTGGAGAATGGTCTGGCTGCACCTCATTATCCTCTGTTAAATGGCAAAGAAAATAAACAAAACACTCTGGCTTGTGTGTATTTGTTTAAACCAATCACAACTGTCTAGGATTCAGGAGCAGTGATGGGTGAACTGTCTCAGTGGAACATTTGCTTGCAGGGCTAGCTCATCGGGAATCTAACAAGCAGGGCTGCGTTCTTGCATGATACAAACTTTGACAAAAAAGAGGTGGTTCTGAGCAGCAGCCCCCTACAGCCGGAGTCTACTCTGTAAGCTGGGAACAGCCAGGAGTAGGTTCATCGAAGCCCTCTGTCCTACAACTCTGGTCATTCCTTGCATCTGTACCTCCCATGTGACTCCTCAGAATTAGCTGCTTTTGTTTTGTACAGTAACTAAGTCAGTACAAAACTCTACCTACATACTATGTTGTTTTCCAAGATAAAGGACCACAGCAGTGGGTCAGAATTTCACTTTTTAATTTGTGATATGGCTGCTAGGTGGTGCAGGTGGTTAGCACCATTGCCTCACAGCTAGAAGGTCG